AGATTGGGTGACCAATATTATTGGTTCCAATAGATTGGGTGACCAATATTATTGGATCCGAATATTATTGGATACCCAATAGTATTGTACAATATCTCCAATAACGATTGGTATTGGTACATGCCTAAACGAGAGGGGACGAAATGAGAGGATACCGTCAAAACTATGAAGGAATCGATCGGATCAAGCGAAGCATTTGGATCATTTGTAGAATAATGAGAAATGCTCCTCTGTGATTTTTCGAGAAAATATATAAAATCTATCTTTCTTATCCATTTTATTCATTTTTTCCAATAGATCTTTTTTTTTAACTCTTATATATAACACATCAGAGAACACATTAACTATGCTAATTAATTATAGGTAATATATATATTCTCTTGGGCCTTATCACTTCCTAATATGGTCTTAAACAAATAATAAGAATGATTTTTCGCCACCGGTGTCTGTTCAAATATTACACAGACTAATAACAGAATTGACTCATGATGCTGCTGAATTATACTGTGGAACGAAAAGGAACAAAACAACATACAGCAGGGGACACCTTCTATATCCCGATCAGGATATAGAAAAAAATTAATATCCCGATCGGGATATAAAACACAAAACTTCGTCGTAAAAACGATTAGGGGGAAAATTATGACGTTTTGGGGAAAAATTGACATCACCATTAGAAAGAGCTCGAAAAACTACATCGGATTCTGTTGTGTTTGATCAAAATTGCATCAAGCACCCAGCAACTATTTTTTCGAATACAAATTTTTAACAAATTTTAATCGACTTTATATCGGGAAATAGACGGTTAACCTGTTATTGCTCAGAATAAAATGTACTCTTAATCTAATCGCTTTCCACACGACCGTCTTTTTCTATTTCTTCGTTTTCGATAAACGCAAATATTGAAACATATTTCTTTTCTCATGACAACATATAAGTACACGTGCTTTGTGTTTAACGGGGAATTTTCCAACTATTGATTCGTGCAGATAAACTGCCTTATATTTTTGTAAGTGAACCACAACTTGTTTAAAACTCATTTATACTCATAATGCCTGGTAGGGCAATATCCCTTAAAGACTAATTACATTTGATGAGAAACATGTTAATGTGAAAGTTAGAAATTACACTAACCAACAAAAATATTTTTCTTTTTATTATTTAAAAAAAAACTTTTGCTGTAAAATAGGACATCCAGAACGGGATATATATATCCCGATTAGAAAGTATGCTCGATCGGGATATGTCTCCACACTGACATATGACAGTTTGATCATTATTTTCTAAAGAAAAGTGGTTTGGGAGTCTAGATATTAATAGTCAATTACGTTGTACATCGAAAAGATCCCACTAAGGCAATTGTGACTTTTACTCTAGGTTCTTCGTGTTGAGATTTCACGTTTTCCTGCAGTACAGTACAACTTAGTTCACCTTCCAACGTCAAAGAAAGCGATCTGTTTGATCTTTCTTCCTTCTTCGCGCTTATAGAACTAAACATAGCAATCAAGAAAACGAGAAAAGAACAAATTTTCTATTTTAATCTAGATATTTATTTATTATGTAAGCAGTGCTCATCCTGTATTCTAACAACTTCGCGAATTAAAATTAAATTAACTAGAGAGGATCCTTTTCTACCTTTTCTACTAGTTTGAAGTACACAAGTTGTACTATATACTGATGTATTTTCTAGAAAAAGATCCCTTCTAGTTTTTGAGATATGTGGCTCTCAATATTGGTGATCAACGTTTAACAAATCATACTTCTTTTATATGCAGCAGCTAGATAAACTCTTTTTGACTACCATGACTTCCCGGCTTTCTCTTCGGGTCAAGGTAATCAGAGACAACGTGTGTTCAAACTTTACTTATTCAGTGAATAATCACATAAAATGAAATAAAGTAGAAATGAAAAATATCAAAATAAGATTAAATCAAAATTAGATTTTTCTTTCAGATTTTTGTATATTCGGAATCAGTATAATCGATTGCGTGGTACAGCATAGTTCGTGTATATGTATATAGAACGTTATTTCTCTTTAAAGAACAAAATAAGGAAAGACAAAATTTTATATTTTTATTGAAATTTATTCTATATTCAAAAGAAGCAGTGCTGCTGTGAATTTATTCTATATTCTGCCCACTTCGCGACTTAAAATTACAATAACTAGAGAAGGGCCTTTTCCACTTTCTATACTCATCTAAAGTACACAATTTGTATTGTCTATTGAGATATATTCCAGAAAAAGGTTCGTTTTAGTTTTTAAGATTATCTGTATCTATAGCTCTATATTATAGAGCTATCAATATCACAAATTAAAGTTAGTAAAATGTATGAGTTTCACTTTTCCTAAATTCACAGCCAGCACTGCTTCTTTTGAATATAGAATAAATTTCAATAAAAATATAAAATCATCAGTATATAGTACAACTTGTGTACTTTACAAGAATATGGGTAAGACAACATCTCATTGTACTACATTACCGAATCTCGACTCTTCCTCTTACATCAACACCGATTAAAGACCAAAAACATTGTGACACCCAGATCTCGGTAACCAGAAGGTATTAACCGAAACCCAATACAGATTTAGATTCGTCGCGAGAAGCTCTACAAAACCTGATATATAACTTTATATTCCGACATACTTCTGGAATCCGACAGGGTCCTTTCAGTTAGAAAAGCATATATGCAATCGCTACTAATTCGACGAACGGAAGATCTTGTTTTTTGGCAGTCCTTCTTGAATTTATCCATCTTTTTTTTTTGCGTAACTATGGAGAACTGTAAGAATTGTCTTAGACTGTCATAGAGAATTAACAGTGAGAAAGAGAGGCAAAGAGCAAAGAGAAAATCAAAGAAACTGTCATCTATTTCTTCTGGTTTCTTTCAATTTTTAGCAGCAATTGAAAGCGGTTTTGAAGTGTTAAATGGCTTCAATTCACACCCTGTTACACCGATTTGAAACGGTTATAAACCGCAGAAACCGTGTTTTCGATAAGTTAACTACTGGTTTTTTTACGAGGTACCGAACCGCAGTTACGAACGGTTATGAGCCACATAGAATCGTGGTTGAAACCGTCTATTCGATTCAAAACACAAACCGTCTCATTTGAGCGGATTTTTTGTCGCAAATCTGCGGTTTATGGTGGCTTTTTGCTGAAACAGCAACCGTTTTTTAGTCGGTTTTATTGTTCTTTCGTGTAAGGGTGGTTCTGTTCGAGAACGTTCGAATTTTTGAAAGCGTCAGTTTATTCCCCGATCGTTTTTACGGAATTGTAACATTATATTGTACGGCGTTGTTCGCTTGAATTTCAACAGATATTGGTTGCGTTTAGAATTACAGAATAAATGAGTACTCTCTGATGAATAGCTTGATTAGATCAAAATGTACAAAAAAATTAAGTTAGTGCCTTTACACTTACTTTGAGCAATTCGTTCTAACAGACGATCATCGTATCGTTCAGCAAAAACAAATGTATCGTGAGGTAGACCTAATTCTTGTACAACACGTTTCCACGTTTGAGTACCGTAAAATACGCAAATACCATCTCGAGCACTTTCTAATATAAGACCGTAAATTAGCATTATTAATAGCCACAGTGTTGAAAAGAAAAATAATTTTCATACTGCGATGTTTCTCTAACAACTGTATAATTTATCTACTCATGTTTCTTTTGCGTGTACTGCAAAAATAAGAGACAAAATGTCTGTCATATAATGCAAGAATAAATCCGTAAAAACTAAAAATATTCTTTTTCTGTTGTCTTAAATTACAACAAAAACTCTGATCTACCTTTTTTCGAAATTAGATATTGTGGCACTACTCGGTTGATTGAATAAAAGATTGAATAGAAATAAAAAGAGAAAAGAATTTACGACACAAACAAATAGTCAGGTTTATTCAGTCCTCACCTCCATAGTTGTTCCAAAGTTAAGGCGTAAGATACGCTCTGAATGAGCCAATCATAAGAGAGAAGAAGTTATACCCTAACGATGACATATACTCAAAGCGAAAATATTCTTTTAAAGAAGAGAAAAGTGCTAGACCCGAATAATCGATAGAATTAAAAACAACAAGAACTATAATAATGTGCCATTTTGAGCATGTAAAACGAGCGCATTGACTGTCATTAGACAGAGAGTTACAACAAGAGCCAAAAGTAGACATCTGCGACGTGCAAGATTCTCATTCCACGTAAATGATCGAGAGCCCCGGCCTTTTTTGTTTTGAAGTAAACACCTATGACTAGGAGTTGACAGAACCCGATTTCTGAATTTCTCATTTACTGATTTCTGGTATTCAATAGAACTTTAAATCCGAAAAATCCTTAGAAGGTTTCTTAGAAATCCTGATTTCTATAAAAAATACATGCGCAATTTAAAAATCAGACTCTGTCAAGTCCTACTTATAGGTGTTATTTACAAATAAAAAACTGTTCTTTCTTTGATGTATTGTTACCGAGAATTTGTGCACGTGGCGAAAGCCCGGAAACTAAAAAACAGTCTTCAGAAAACGCAAAAGTTTTGATTCTGTTAAATGCGTTTTATTCAAAAACTGTTTGAGCGTTAAATAATTTGTTTTGCTGTAGATTATTGGTCATGGCGGAACTAATGAGCATGTGTCCGGCATATGCGTGCGCTTACGCAGCGCAGTAGATACTTTCGGGTATCTAACCATGTCCTTTTCTCAGATTTTTTGGACGAAAATCGGCATTTTTGGTCCGAGGGGGACCTTAATACAAAGCAAATCGTTTAATGTAAAAGCATTTCTGAACAAAACTAGACGTCGCCGAACTCTCTACGACGCTTTTTCATGGAACTGCATTCAATTTACGAAACGTCCCTCGGTCATTTTCACTACCATTTTTGCTCTTTTTCTAGCGATTTGGCTGATTATGACGTGGAGGGCCTTTTGTAAATTGAATGCAGTTCGATGAAAAAACGTCGTAGAGAGTTCGGCGACGTCTAGTTTTGTTCAAAAATGTTTGCTCTACACAAATATGGTATTTACAAAAAGTTACCGTTGGAATCGCGGGACTTGATTTTTTGGGTTTTTCTAAAATTTTGGTCTTCCACAGACCTGGTTTGCAGGAATTTTAACAGAATTTTCATATGCACCTCATCTGCTTATAAACTCTTTCAGTTGTTCAAATATTTTTTCACATTTGTTCTAGCTGTTATGGTCGGGAAGAAAAATTAAAAATAAAGATGAACCTATAATTTTGGCTAGTGCTGTATATTACGTGTCTTTCTTATCGGTAACAGACATTCAAGATGTGAGGCTGAATGAGTTTTCAGGTATCAAATAACACTCTTCGATAAGTTGAATCGGGCTCATTACCGGATTAGTTATTTAATTGTGGGTAATGGCACGCGATCTGATACATTAGATGATCTATGTGATTAACCTAAGTAGGAAGAAATTACATCATATTACGTGTCTTGCGTTATTATACTGTTAGTCTCTAAGCTAGCGAGGGAACCGCCTCAACTGTCTCACGAGTTAAGACTCCATATGAAGACAAATGTCATTTTCCAGAGAATTATTTGCTGTATTTTTTGCAAAGATTGAAGAAGAGTGGGAATACTACTTTAAATAAATAACGTGAATCAGATCGATTCACTCTGTCTATTAACTGTAAGTCCATTTTATTGTAGCGCAACTAAAGAACTAAAGACAAGCTAACTGCACAACAACTTCCCTAAACCACTCGACCTTACTATATTTTTCATATACTATTAAGTACACACTACACCACAATGCCTACTGTCCGACTGAGGATCGATCCTTTAAAGGTTGCGGATCTTTTAAAATCCATCACTCTCACAGCTGTGAGTATGTAACTTAGATACCGAAGTCTCGACCAGCTGGGTTGCTCCTACACCTCCTACAAAGTCATTATAGTCAATGACCTTCGACAACTTTAAATCAAAGATAACGCTCACACGTCTCTTCGGACCGCGTTCGCTAGGGGACTATCCACAATATCTTACGGAAAGTGTGTGTGCATGACTACCGACAATATGTATATCTCATGAAATATTTTTCATACCCTAACGCAGGTTAGCACGCGGTAAAAGAAATAATAATTTAACGCATGCGCACAAGTTAAATGCTCTAGAATGCATGCAAACGTGTTATCTTCTGAACTTGTATGAGATCAGAAATGTTTCAAAATTAATACTAACTCGTTAAAAAGACAATTTCATTATAAAAAATTAAAAGTTGGGTTAAAACGAGTTAGCCAAGAAAAGTTTAAAATTGTAACGCGACCGGTAAGCGGATTAACACGTTAAAACCGCGTTAAATGTTTCATATTCGGTGGTTTTAACGAGTTCAATTTGTAACGTTTGCTAACGTTAGACCTCGTAGTCAAGCGTTCAAACTCTTTTAGTTTTAACGCATCCGAACCATACATTTTTCTAAACGCGTTAACATATCAGACACCTTCGCACTCGTTACAACAAATTTTTTTAAAGATATTCTAGAACAAACGTTGTCACGAGTTCACACCCGTTACTATCCATTCTGCTTTATTGTCGCACCTTAACTCGTTTATATCTCTCTCCCACCTTTGATTGCTTTTTATTCAGCATCTGAGCCCCAAAATTCCACGTACAGGTGGTTCTTAGGTAGCAGACCAT